CTCTCTCTCTCTCTCTCTCTCTCTCTCTCGGCGAGAAGAAGAAAGAAATGCAATTTCTCGATGGCTGGAAAGTTTCCTCCGGTGACTTTGATAGGTCGTACGATTTTCAATTTTCCTTTTTTCATCGAAGAGCCATGTGAAAATTAGCCTTCGTGTGAATATTTTTCTCGAAAAATTCGATCAAAATTTGTATAAACGAAACTCATCGTTGGGAAATTCAAATTTTCCAAGAGAAGGGAAAATAGAAGTTGCTCTTACCGAAACCTCACGGACGTTCGAACTTTGACCATTTTACGGATACAGAACTCTCTTCGAGCTTCGTTTCTTATCTCTCTCTCGCGCGAAAATTGCGAAAAGTACACCTCCTTTAAACCTCGAATAGAGAAAGAGAAAAAAGAGAAAAAGAAACCTACATAATCTAATTTCTCCAAGGATTTGGAGCAAACAATTCCAAGACGTACACTCCGCGAATACAATCAAACAACGAACAAGTGGACGAATGAAAAAAGATTCTAAAAAAATAAAAATTCCAAAAACAAAAATTCCATAAGATAAATAAAAAAGGGTGTATTATCCAAAGAAAATAAATATCGCTCCTGGAATATCCCGTATCCAAACAAAAGAGGATAGAAAACTGGGAAGGAAAAAGGGACGATTCCCATCGTGCGAAACTCGAGCCCGAACGTCGAGAGGTCGATGTCGAGAGGAAAGGAGCGCGTCGACTTGTAGACGCGACTGGTGGCGCGGCTGGAGGGGAAGCGGTTGGTGGTCGAGGGCCGGTCGATACAGCCGAAAGTCCAGAGCGCGCCGAGCCGCGCGAAAATTCGCACGGATGGAAGTATAAATCGTTCTTCGTTTTCCTCCTCTCTCTCTCACTCTTTCGCTTCTTTTTTACGCCTCTCTCGCGTTTATTCGCGGCTGTAACTTGGAACGTTTTATAGCGCGCGATCGAACGTGTTGCTTTCTTTCCCTCCTCCTCCCTCTTTCTGCTTTTATTCTTCTTTCTTTCTTTCTTTCTTTTTTATGAGAGTGGTAAATTCGGTAAATATGGTGCGGAGTTAACGCGGTTGCTCGTTTAGGAGGTCGGTCTTTTGATGTTGCAACTTTGTTTTTGTTTGGAACGGGTTTCGCGGCTTGGATTTAATTAATCGAAAAAAAATTGTTTTATATTGCGATTATTTTACTTATTGCACGAAATTTTATACACGCAGTTCGATTCTTCGTAATTGAACGATCGTTTCTTCCGCTTCTTCCTCGTTCGAAAGTGGATTTATTTTTTCTGGCTTCGATTCGTTTTATTAATTACATATATGTAACGCGATAGGGAAAAATATCGTCAGATATAAATTCACAGCGGGAAGGATGTTTGAATAGGCAATTGGTGTAAATCATTATTTGAAATTTGACTCGTAACAGTCGATAAATTAATCGAGTAATTACTTCGATATTTCGATGATAATCCGTGAATTGAAAATTGAAACGATAAATCCTTCGACTCCATACTTTGCACAAATGTCTTTCATTTTGCATTTTTGAAAAATTCCTTCAAAATTTCCAATCAAAATACTCTAATATCTTTTCCCCATTATATCAAAAAACTAACGTTAACAAGCTGCACGAACAATTAGCGCATCGTATCTCGCTCTTCAGAAAAAAATTTCCAATCAAAATTCTAATCCCTTTTCACCCACACTTTGCTTCCCCCGTGATTACAGCCTGATTAACTCGCCATCCCTCGTCCACCACCCCTCGGCTAATGTATATTTAATTGCGATTTGAGCGTTACCATCGTCGAATCCCGAATTCTAACTCTGTGGAAACTGTGAAATCGAATAAACCGCCGCTTAAATTCACGGGCTCGTTAAATTAAATTTGTCGTTGGCCAACTGGCCTACAACTGTTTCATCGTTACAGGCGCGAATTTTGAAAAATCGGATCAACCCTCGAAATCGACGCTCTTCCTCCATTCGATTAAAAAATATTTCACCGATCTCAGAGAGGGGGGGAGGGGGCAGGAGAGAGGGAGAGAGTTTACATTGAATTTCGCGTATTTCGAGGAAGAATTTGTCGATGAGAGGAGGTTAATGAGCTGGGAATTGTTCAAGTTCCAATTTTGGTAATTGGAGCTTTTAGCTCGCGCCGGGAAGATTCGCAGGACCGGTGTTATTTGCCTTGAGAATTGGGAGAAGTTGTTGGGAAGTGCTCAACCTCCGCCCACCAACTTTTCCACCAAGTTTAAGTTAAAATCAAATCGCCTTCCCTCGCGATCGAATTTTTCGCGAAATTCTCCATTTTCATTTATCGCGCCGATGAAAAAAATTCGAATATTTAAAAATATTCATCTAAAAATATATATACAAAAGTTTTACCATCGATTTCATCGTTATTTCGATCGAAGAATTTTTCGAATTCCTTTGAATTATTAAAGAAATCTTAAGATCTCTTTCCAACAACTCTTTGTATTACTCCATATTCGACTTAATATCTCTCCATTTATTATCCTCCTCTTAAATCTTCGTCGAGATATTTACATTTGTACGGGTGGCCAATTTCAATTAGGTTTGGAGGGACGGAGAGGGGGGTATCGATCGATGGATCGATCCAAAGGGTGGGACGGGAATTGTTTGCACGTGCGCGAATTCGTGTTACGCGCCCTGCTAATCGGATTTACATCGGGTCGATGTTTCGGCTAATTATTGTCTTAATTAAAACGTGGCGTGGCGTGGGACGGGGAGCGGGGAGGATGCATGCACGCTGCTCGTTCGTAGGAAGTGGGATGGCAAACGCGTAACGGCGCAGGTGGGGATCGAATATTAGGATCCATTAATGTAATGCGCCCGTTTGTTCGTCGAAAATCCACCCGTCGTTTCGCGCCTTTAATTATCCCCCTCCTGATTAACAGATATTAAAACGAGACTCGGCCTATGATTTTCCCCCTAATGGCTCCTCCACCCGCTGATCAACGACTTTAATAGAATCGATATTTTAGAGGCGCCATTAGGTTAAGTGCAATTTGTTTCTCGATGAAACGCGTCGTTACTTGTTTTTTTAAGCGAAATTGAAATTAATTTCTCTCCTTTTTCTTTCTTTCTTTCTTTATTAATCGATCGGCGGAGAAGTTTCCTCGATATCGAAATTCTGGAGTGAAAGTAGTTGGGATCTTTGATTTCGATTATTTCATTTTAATAGAGGTTTGGAATGGATCTAGTGGAAAGATGTAAGGGGGGTTTGTAATTTTAATACAGTTGTTTTATTTTTATTTCTGATATTAAGTAGATTCCTTGGATGTATCTGGATACACATTTTTGAAAAATGGTAGGAGATCGTGAATTCTTGGTATCATTAATTTTATTCATTATTTCGCAGAGGAGGGGTTGGATCGATATCGATTAAACGTTAATTAATTATGCTTATTAAACGAAGTTGAGAGGATTATGGTCTCAGAATAGATTCTGTAGAAACGTAATATTCTGAATTAATTCGTCTGGTTCCGCGAAATTCACGGAGCAAAAACGAACGATAAGTCTTGAAAGTGCTTCTCTCTCTCTTCTTTTTCTCCATCCTTTTTTCCCACCTAAATGCGAAATTTTATAAAATTTCTCTCGCGTTATAAACAATTTTACAATTACGGATACAAACTTTTCCATAAAAAAATAATTTTAAGAATTTTTCCTCGAAACGATCGTATTTTATCTAAAAAAAAAAATCGAAGAAGAACGAAAAAGAGTTATTATTGTATCAATATTGATAAATGTTCCATATAACGATTCTAATCTAAAATTTAAAAAAAAAAAAGAGAAAAGAGAGTCACTATAAATTCGAACCATGGTTTACGTAAAATAAAATATTACAAGGACTACCATATTTCACAATCGAACGATTCACGTCAATCCGTGTGACCCTTTGTCACACGTTCCCCATTCCACCCCCTTTCCTTCCTTTTTCTCTTTTTTCTTTAAATCAAAATTTATATTTCACCTGTAGTATCGACACTCTTTCCATTTCCCCTCCTCCTTCTCAATTACGCAATCGCCCCGTTGAATCCATCGAATTCTTCCACCATTTTGATTATCATATCCGTACAAAATTTCCAAAGATTCGCCAACAATTAAAATTCAACGATACATCGATTATAAATAAGTTTGTTATCAGAGAATGGTGGAGTTGTCGTGAAAAATCGCGTTGGAAAGGGGGGAGGGTCGGAGGAATTATTGGCACGCGTGGAGGGGAGGGGAGAATTAATGTCGGGCAACGGGTAAATTTATTTCGGCCGAGCGAGATACGGCTGCTATAATTGAAGGCTGGCCAACCGGCCGGGTGGCTCGCAGCAAACGCGCCGCTTTGCACGGCCCACGTGAAACAAAGGGAAGATTGTTGTTCTGCTCCGAGGTTTGTCAGTTGGGTCCGCTTCGAGCCGGAAATGGTCGCGGTTTTTTCTTTTTTCTTTTCTCGTTTGCCCGCTTTTGCTATGGATAGAGAGAGAGAGATCTCGTTTTTTCATATATCCCTCCATTCCTCGCGGCGTTAACCAACCGCGGTGTTTGCAATGTTGCGTAACGTTGGGTATTTCGACTTTTTCCCCCCTTCTCTTCTTCCTTTTTCTTTTCCTTCGTTTGAAAATTTTCGCGAATCCAGCGTTCGTTTTCTAGTTTTTTTTTTTATTTTAATTAAAAATTAATAAAAAAGTAGGATTATCGGATTAATTTCGTTAAATATTTCGTTGTGTCACGAGTGAAGGATTATTTTTTTTTTAATATTGGAATTGTTTATCGCGAGAACATATATTGTTTAATCATTTTTTAAATATAACAATTAATTTGTTGCCACGAGATTTATACGCTTGTGCATTCATATAATTGTCTGGCGAATGTTTTTAAAAAAAGAAAAGAAGAAGGGAAAATAGGGCAGTTCGAGGAAAGTTTCCTGTTTATACGAAAACGTTTTTCGATTCGAACATTTTTTCCCCATTTGTTTTTCGTGTTTAAAAATCGGAGACCAGTGGAATATGGACTTTATGGCTGACCACATCGGTCACTATCTACTGAACTGGTAACCGCGGATGATAAATGTCGTCCCCAAATTATTGTACCACCTTATCCTCGATCGACGTTCCAATTTTTATGCCCCTCTGCTTCCAATCTTTTGTTCCTTCTCTCTCTTCCCTTTCTTTCTTCTTTTTTTTTTTAACTTCTTTCTTTCCAGATAGGAGAATTTATGAAGGTTAATACGCTTTTCAACTTTACGTTTGCGGATTCTTTTCTTTTTTCTTTTTTTTTTCAAATCAATCTGATTATGTATTCTCGAGAACAATTCTCGAATTAGAAAAATAATCGAGTGGAGAATTAACATTGTTTATTATCGATTATGGGAGGAGCGAAAAAAAAAAAGATCGAAAGATTCTTGATCTCTCACAGCAATTAAGCTTATTACGCTTCTCTCGTTCCAGGCGAAGCTAGAGACGAAAGCGTTGAAAGCGAAGAGGCCAGGATTCACGGACGAGCGGTACAACGAGACGAGCTATTACGTGGAGAATGGTGAGAATCTTTGCATTTGTAAAAATAGTTTAATAGTGTTGTCGGCAATTAATCGGCGCTGATTTACGATCGATCGATCCGTGGCCAATCGGTATAATTATCTTGTAATTCGATATGATTAACCGTCGATTGTTTGCGTTTAAAGAGCAATCGAGAGAGAGAGAGATAGTTTAAAGAGGTCTCCTTTCATTGCTTCGAAACCTTGGATGTAAAATTGATCTTAAGATTTAGCAGGTAGAATAATCAAATTATACCTTCTTAACCTTGAAATTAGCATTAATTGTGAAAATTTGATCATAAGTAATAATTCGAGATTCCTCCTTTTTTTACGTGTCACTCGATCTCAGAGAAAAGGAAGGACGATCGAAATTCTTCAATCTTCGTTTCGAATAGGTATCGAATAGAAAAAGGATATTTCTGAACAATCAATTTTTTCTCTTTTTCATCGACCACCTTGAAACCTTGAAATTAGCATTAATGAAAATTTGATCATAAGTAATAATTCGAGATTCCTCCTTTTTTTACGTGTCACTCGATTTCAGAGAAAAGGGAGGAGGATCGAAATTCTTCAATCTTCGTTTCGAATAGGTATCGAATAGAAAAAGGATATTTCTGAACAATCAATTTTTTCTCTTTTTCATCGACCACAATACCCTTTTAACCTCTGTACAAAAGTCGCGTGGCTTCCAGTCAAAAGATAACTCGATAAACCCGGGCCAGGGTCGATGAAAACGAAAACACAGTCGAAAGAGCTTCTCACCCTCGACGACCCCCTTTTATCCCCGTTCGATTTCGTTGGCATTGTGAAGCCGAGGGAGACGCAGCAGCTCGGATCATTGTTCGAATCGCGGCCATTCGCTGGATTATCCGCGATTATCTCTTGGCGAACAGAGAGAGAGAGAGAGAGAGAGAGAGTCTGTGAAAGCTGCAGTTACTGTAAGGTCGAATGCAGATGAACCGATTAACGAGTATCATCGTTTCCTCGTTTATAGGAGAAACGTTTGCATTTAAAAACGTTCCTTTTTCAATCGATGCTCGTGTCGTTGAGAAGCTGGATTTTTTATTTATTCGATCATATTGGAGAGAGAGGAAGAAAATTAAAAAAGAAAAGGATGGATTATTATTCAGAGACAACATTTCTTGATCACGTTCGGATACGTTTCGTAAATAATGAAACTCAAGTTTTATGGAGATAGTAAAAAAATATGCGAGGTGTGGTATTTTAAAACTTGATGTGGCACGTTTTGATATGACAGTCTCTATTTTAATTATAGAAACCATCTTTCTAAGCGAGTTAAGCCAAAAATATTAGGGGATGTCGAGAAGCTGCTTGAAATTTTATAAATAACAATAAACTGCGTTTCTTTATGTAAATTCGTAATTCGTAATCACGCGTTTCGAAACTCATCCTTTCCTAGATAAAAATGTAACCGCCATTACCGATGTCAAAACCTCTATTCTGAGTTGAAACGAGTAAGTAGATTGAAATTTATCGAGAAATCGTTGATCTTGGTAAATTATTTCAAATCACATCTCTTTGTACGCACTTCTATAACTGTGAAAATATTCCTTTTGGCCCAGTACAGATCGAGTATTTATTAAGAATTCATTTCCACGTACAAAATTCATGGAACGAATCGTCATCGAATGAAACGCATCCTTCGATGAATTCTTCGTGTAAAATCGGCAACCTGTCATCGTTCGTACACCGTTAATCAAGAAGGCCGGTTCTTCTCATTCCCGTTTAATCGATCGATCCTAACCTCAAACCTACGTCCCCTCTGCTTTCGTTCAACGTTGGAGGAAACAGATCCCACTTTTCACTTCAAAATTCGATGGAAAACGCGTCGCTCTAAACGAATAGAGTAGAAACAAGCCGACATTTATCGAACGTCAATACGTTCACCGTAATTAAAGTAGTTGGCGATGCCTCTGCTCCCATCGCATTATCGACATTCCATGAGAATTGTTTGATAGACGAACGCTGATTGGCCGTGCTCATTAGCGCAAGCAACGTTTATCCGTCGGTAACGAAGGAGGCCGAAGAACATTATGGGAAGTTGGAAGGGAAAATTGGAAAATACTACTTTTCTTTTGATATTCGAGAAAAAAAAGATCGATTTCGCGGATTCTTGTTAACGGATGATGAACGTTGTTACTCGATAACGATTGTAATCTCGTAACGAATTTTGCTTTCGTTTTGATTTTATTGAAAAAGATTCGCGATTATTTTATTCGTCGATAAACGAATAAACGAGGTGCGAACTTTTCGTATTCGAAGGAAGATCATGATTTTCAATTTTTTGAGCAATTCAATTTATAAATTTCATAAAAGAATAACATTAATTTTTGCAATAAGAAATTTTGTATATATTTCTTAACTTTTCAAATGCAAAAATAAAACTCGAGTAAAATTGTCACACACGCAATTGTTATAGACAGACGATGTTTTAATATAATTGGATGTTTCCAAGGATTGGGAAATTTCAGTTAGCGGATAGATCAAAGATGGATTCGAGTGGCTAAATATTTCTGCCTCCTATCTTACTCGAGGAATCCTTTAATCTTCTTTCTTCCTTTCGAGGAAGGATAACTTCTGCCACCACTTAGAACCAAAGTTTTCGCCAACTTTCCCAGACTTCTCGCGGATCTTACATTCAAAAAGGAACGATAAACCTAGTAGTACGTTCTTCTATTTCGAACGGCTCTGTAGGATGTATACCCTTCTCACGATGTTTCCATTAAGAGATTGCAAAATAGCCGAGGTGAAGTCGGCTATTACCTTCTCGAATTTTTGAACGTAAGTCATGTTCCAATTATTCGAATGTATTTTCCCAATTTCGTGACTAAGAATATTTCAAATCTTGCATACGATCTCTGAAGGAAGTCAGGGGAATCTAATTAGAAGGATTGATTTCTAAAATGATAGATTTTTAATAATAAAAAGGATATATCATACGCAGCATAAGCATAAAGATATGTATATAAAAAAGAAAATTAATGATAGATGATTCGTGACATTCATGTTCCAATTACAATCCCTTCGATCTATCACCATCCTCGCGTCAAAATCGGTGAAAATCCAGTCCAACGGTCAATCCTATATCGATCGTGTGCAACTTCGTTTATTACCATTCACGGTAGTCGAGAATCGGCGATAACAAGTGAGGAGGAATTGGCCGAGAGTCGAAAGACATGCTCGAAGGCGCACACGTAAGAAGAATACGGAGGTTGGCCAGATCGCGAAAGGATGAGAAGGATCGTGAAGCGGGGATAGCGGGGAAGGAGGAGAGGGGGAGAGAAATCGATCGAATATTTAGAGCTATAGGTGCGGCGTATCGACAACCGATATCTGCTCCACATTCGAATAATAGACTCGTACGGGTGACGACGTGCCGGTGGGGGTATCCTCCAGCTGCTCCTCGAACGAAACAAAGACCTATTAATGCCACTCGAAAGACACACACGGATATACACGCGCACAAGCACAATGTCTACACACGCTCGCTCTCTCTTCTCCAATTCTCTCGATGGACGTTCTCCCTTAACGCGAGAAACGCGCATTCCATTACCGGAGACTCGTGACACCGGCACCGATACCCCGACAGAGTCCTGTTTCTCGTATCTTTTCTCCCCTCTCCTCTCCCCTCCCCACCACGCCACACTCTTTCGATGAAGCGTAGCCTTCTTGGACACGGTTATATCGATATTCCAACAAGTAGCTTCTATAGCGTTTCACTATCGCGTTTTTTCTTTCTTTTTTTTTTTTCTCCCCCCATTACCACGTAATGTTGAACCCACGGTTATGCATTATTTCAACAAATATGCAGTTCCTCTCGCGGTTTTCTCGTATATTTTTTCGGTGACGTGGACTCGAACATGGTTATACTACGCGACAAGTGTGCACTGTTTACTGGTGGAAAGAAGTCTCGCGGGACGGCACAGGGGCAAGAGGAGTACGCTCCTATCCCCACTTTGTTGACGCTTTGTTGACGATCTCGACACCAGACGGTTACACTTAGTAATAGAAGAGCTATTAATTTGAATATTCAAAATCGTAAAAATTATTTTCATTTACAAAGTTACGTGAAATATTTTCGAAACTATATTTAATATATTTAATATATAATTATATCGATTGAAACTCTCTGGAATCTATTATTTATGCTATAATGTATCGAAGTTTTAGATTCAGATCGTTTTGAATTAGTATATACGTGACAAATATAGGTGTTCTTTTTCCAAATTAACTTCTTACCAGTACATCTTTTCTCGTAGTGCTATCACTCTTTCGATGGCTTCAAATATATTGGCTATAAATACATATATATTTCCAACATAGTATATACATCTTTTCTCGTTGCTCTCATACTTTTTGTAATTTTGAACACGTCATATAGATATCCCAACAAGTGTATATCTCTTGCGGGTTCTGCATTGCTCTCGCATTGTTTCGTAGTG